TATTGAGCCCAGAGTCTAAAGTTCAGTAGATCTTGGCCCAAGTCCACATTACCCCATACTAGCTGTATGACCATGGACTCCTGACTTAACCACTCTGATCCTCACATTCCTCATTGGAAATTGGCAAAGATGGGGTGGTGGGGGGGGGGGCGGCTAGCTAGCATCTCCTTCACAGAATTGTAACGATTCAGTGAACTAACATACATACGTAAAGAGCTCAGCACAAAGAACTCAGCACAAAGGGCACACGTCGCGTGTAGGAGCTGTTGTTATTTGAGGAAATACCCTGCTTGTTCTCATAATACAGCCCACAGGAAATAAAAACATTCTTGGCTTTGCGGGAGATGAAAAAGGTATAATGATTCCCAGTCAGGGGCATGACCCTTTGGTGGCTTGACATTTTTGTTTACCCGATGGACCGCGGGGTTTGAAAAGATGGTGAAAGTGTGGCGTAAAGCCCCAGGATTGAGGGTGACTGTCCCATCTCCCAGGCCTTGGGTCCGTTCTTGGGCCAACATGCCAGTGCTGCTGTCCTCTGCTCCTAGGACTCAGGGCGGGCAGAGGGTCTGTGGGGCATTTGCTGGTGGGTGCAGAAGATAGGGGCCCGATTCTGGGCCTGGCATTGCACTGGTAGGCTTTGCCCCCACCTCATCCCGCAGGACACTCTTAGGGGCATTTCGTTGTGTTCACGTGAGCATTTCACTGTGTCTAACTTGGTCATTCGTCTCTCAGCTCTGTGGAAGGACCCTCTGGTATGTGCATTTCTGTCTTTCTGAGGCGTGGACGGTGCCTGGGACCCAGCCAGCAGCCAGTTGAAGACGTTCTTCTTGGAAGCTCTTGGACCCGACGGCTCTTGCCCAGGGTGCTGGTCCTGCCATGGCGTTCCGGAGGACCGAGGGCATGTCCGTGATCCAGGCCCTGGCCATGACGGTGGCCGAGATCCCTGTGTTCCTGTACACGACGTTCGGGCAGGTAAAGGTTGGGGCGGGGGGTTTGTGGTCCTGCCTTTACCCCTCTGGTCTCCAAAACACTGAGGCCCTCATCTCAGGGTCCCTAGCATTTGGGAAAGCTTCTCCCTCATTGTTGCTACCCCAGGTTTCTGGGGTCTCCTGTTTCAGCACAGCAAGAAGGACTAGGTTAGGAGTCTGGAGCCCCAAGCCCGCTCTTCACCCTAGGGCTGTATGAGCACTTGACCTCAGTTTTTCAGTCTATAAGAGGGGTCAGTGATGCCCTCTCTGCCAACCTCAAATGTCTGTCACTGACCAGGTCTTTTGACACTTCCTTAAAGCCACTGCAGCTGTTAGGATCATGACCCGTGGAGTTAGGGACACGTCCTGGACCCCAGATGTGATCTCTTTGGCCTTGTCATTTTGCTGTCCCCAGTTCCCCCTCTTTACATCTCCGTGGTCCACGTTTCAGAAATCCTGGCCAGGTCCCTCCCCTCGGGGCGACTGCCTCTCTATCATTCCTGGTCAGCAAATAGTCCCTGAGTGCCTGAGGCACCCTCCACCCCTCGGGTGCTCCCCAGAGCAGCTCTGCCTGCCACGGAGCTCTGGGCCCCGCCGCCTCCCTCTCTTCCTGCAGTCTGCGTTCTCCCAGCTACGGTTGACTCCAGGCCTGCGGAAGGTTCTTTTTGCCACAGCCCTGGGGACTGTGGCCCTGGCCCTGGCCGCCCACCAGCTAAAAAGGCGACGGCGGAGGAAGAAGCAGGTCGGCCCGGAGATCGGAGGCGCACATCTGGGCACGGTGCCCCTCCCCCTCCTCATGGCCAGGAAGGTGCCGTCGGTGAAGAAAGGTAGGTGTGAGGCAGTGGGGGAGGGCCTGACCTAGAGTCAAGTCCCGGCTGGGCCCCACGTTCGCTGTTGGATCTTGGGCTAGTGACGTCCCGTCTCCAAGCTGATCTCCCCTCGTCTGTGAAGCAGGGATGGCAATAGACCCTTCCCTGAGTCGCCTTAAGGATTTGGTGGGTGATGCGCCCCGGGCGCACATGTCCTGTCGGTGGCGGTTGTTCTTAGTATCTGAGGACCCTTTGGGAGCACCTGGGGGTCCAGAGGGGGCTGGTGGCACGCAGCCCAGGGAGGGAAGTTCCTGGCGTGGGAGCAAGAAGGGCCATGTGCTTTCAGAGCCATATGGTATTCTGTCCCCCCCCCCTTTTAAAAGTTAAGGTTGACTCTGTATACAGTAAGTTCACCCTTTTTAGTGTGCATTTTTATTTGTTTTTTTTTTTTTTAAGTTTATTAATTTATTTAGAGAGAGAATCCCAAGCAGGCCCTGCGATATCAGTGTGGAGCCTGAGGCGGGGCTCGATTTCCCGAACCGAGAGATTCAGGAGCAGAAACCAAGAGTCAGACGCTTAAACCTGGGTGCCTCTTTAGCATACAATTCTTCACGTAATTTTGTGTAACACCCGTAGCCATGCTCTCAATCCCTACCCGCCATGTCCCTCGCGGTCAGCCCTTCTCCTCTAACCCAGCCCCTGCCTGGTAGCCTCTGAACTGTTTTATGTGTGCTGCTGTGGCTTTCAGAGCCCTCATGGCCCCTGTTTATCTTGTAACCCAGCAACCCAGCGTTGGCCATGACCTGAGTGTCATGTGGCCCTCTTCCCAAGGCAGGAAGTTCTCACAGGCTCACATCTTGGGAGAAACCTGGCTTAAGAAGCAAAAAAAAAAAAAAAAA